TAGAAATTTCAAAATCGATCTCACGAAAATAAACAGTCGGTACTTGTGTTCCCTCTTCTTCGTGCTCGAAAAGTCACCCGTACAAATATTTAATGTTTCATTTGCAAACTCTTCGCTGGAAGGAAGAGGAGTAGTTATTGAATCAAACACCCGGGGGTTAGAGAGGACTCGAGTCCTAATCGATCAGTCGCTTTTATTTCAATTCTGTTCGTCCGTTTATGGCCACTACGTGATATTTCGTTCTTCTATCAATTTGTTGTCAAAGAAGTCACTTTTAAAAGGTTGCCATTTTAACAGCAATCATTTCTTTCATCGAATATTAAAATTAATTTTAATCTTTCAAAGACCGTGCCGGAGTCACTTCTTCTGACTCGCGTTATTGAGCGGTGGAGAGTATGCCTCGAGCAAAAGTAATCAATTAATCGAAGAAGTAAAGAAATGTGATGCTCTGATTTTTACAATTTTTCTTTAAATGGAAAATCAAATAAATATTATAGAATCATTTTACATTATTATTACAAATATATATTTAATCTAAGGGAGATGTAAAATCTCTCATTCTAATTTGTAATGTATCGACACCCTTCTATTTTAATGACTTTTAACCCTTTGCACTCGAGAGGTGACTCTCAGTCACCATTTGATTTGATATAATAAAATTACAAACTGTTATAGATAATATTAAGTTTTGTATAATGCATCAATATGTGAAATATTTATACAAAATAGTTTTGTTTCTTAATTTACGTGTGTTTTCTCATTAGTTCGTTTCAAACAATGTCGTCTGTGTCTTATTGGAAAGTGTCGAATGTTTCTAGTCAAAAGCTTCCGAGTGCAAAGGGTTAATATGTTTTCAAGCACGTGATCTTGAACAACATTTTCTTCTTTACACATAATCTACGGAAAGCTCTGGTTTTCAACATAATCACGAAAATTTTTCACTACCGCACACTGAATTTTATATCCATGAGCGTGACTGAGACTGCTGCAAGCATATGATCATTATGATCGTCACTGTAACACGGCGCCACAACCATAGGCGTGTATTTGTTACGGTGCGTGTGGCGAAAAAACAACAAAAAACAACAAAATTAACAGTGCACTCTCATTTAGAGGGAAGTCTTGTTCGGGTGGTTCGGAGATATACGACTTGTGGTATATTCCGCTTAACGTGGTTTAAGAACTTACGTGATACTTAGTACTTTTCTCTGCACAACTTTTATCGTTACTAAGCTTAGCTGATATTTCATATCGACTATGTCTAATGCCTCGTGTTTAACAACGTTACCTGTCGTTGCAAACAAAGTTGGCCTCCAAATATAACAGTCCCATTGAATGAGTATGCCTTGTAATGCAAGATAATTATTTTGTTAATATCTCAGTAATTATTCGTTTACCCTACATAGTATGAGTTATTCAGAATCGTCATGTTGTGTGACTCACCCTGTGTATAAGGAAGAAAAAGCTGCCCAAAATAATGCCCTTGACAGGTTATTGTAAAATCATTGGAATTAAATGTTTGCATATTAGATTTTGCCTAATTTATTTGACAAGATATTGCAAAATTCTTTAGCGACAATTTTTCAAGACAACACTAACGGAGGATAAAATTCATTTCAAGTTTTCGTTAGAAACAGACTTAGGAAACACGGAGAAGGAAAGTTATTTCTAGTCGAAGAAAGATTTCCCTTTCATTCGGCTATTCGCTTGAATTGCCACTTGAAATTCCTCACATTATCAGCGTACGTCTCATCGCGCTGGCAGACGTCAATTAGCATGATTCATTTTTGGGACAGCATTAATCTGCTCGATTCAGAATCCTCTTACCTCCATCAAGCACGCTATGCTAATTAACTTAATAAGCCGAGTATTTGTAGTGCAAAGAGAATCAGCCGAATTAAACTTCGGGTCTCTCCGAAGATACTTCGGAACTGAACCGCGCATCGCATAACGGTAAATTGCCCGTAGCGATGAGCATTCCGCCATCCTCGAAATTGACGCGGGAATTCATCTTAATAATCCACCTATTAGCGGCGCATAGATATTTTGAACAAAGCGTTCCGCCGATTATACGTTCCTCTAGTCGAGCCTGCGTGAATTCCAGTTTCTCCGAAATGGAGATGCAACTGGCATCGACGCAAGGAAGACTGGGGAACCCAATTCTCCCTCGTGACTCTACGTATTTGTGTTTACCTGTTTCTCATGTTTACTTTCATGTAACATACGATACTTATAGTTTTTATACCCGAAAAAGTTATTTTTAATTTTTTGCATTCGCGAGACGATTCTCAGTCATTTGATTTGATATAGTTAAAGTATGATGTTTAGTAATCAATTTTGTATAACGTACCAATACGTGAGATATTGAAATAGAATAGACGTGATTTTTCTGTTGGAACGGTTGATAGCCGGATTTATCACACGTACGTGACCAGGCATTTTCGACAGAAATTTAGATTTTTTAACCGTTTAAACGTTACCATTCTCTGTTTGCCTGGTTTGTTCGTTTTGCTTTTCCAAATTTCTCACCATCGTCGCGGTGGTGGCAACCAGTTGTACAGTAAGCTCGAAAACTTTTGAAGGGTACCGTTGTTGTTTAAGGGGTGTTTTCATTTAAAACTTTGAAAAAATCAATCTTTTCTTGCTACGTCTTTTTCTTTCGAAGTCACTTCGAAATGGAGATTTATGCCATCGGTAAGGAATATACCAGTTTGAAGATTATCCTTTTTAGGGGCCCTTGACTGCCATCGGGTTGTCAAGCAATACACGGTATTCGGACGTGCTATTTCGGGATTCTGAAAAGTGACCATACCATTGAGGGAGAATTTCTTCTGTAACACATAACGGGCTTTATTTCTCACAAGTTAACAGAACGATACATCAACGGTTAAGCACTGCGATACAATGATCGATCGACGCGGAATTGGTCGCGAGAGAAGGGAAAAATGAAAGATGGCGCAGGATGTCGGATTTCGAGCGCACACGCTGCTTAGTGGAAAAACTTCACGTTTTCGCGATCCTACGCGCGCGGCCGAAACCGCCCCGATGACTCCACGCTTGCACACGGTATTACTCGGGCTTGTGACGGCCGCAGAGCCGTAACGAACCACGTTGCCCTATGTTGAACTCGGCTCAATCCCTAAAAAGCCCTATTTCCTACACCATAAAACNNNNGCGTCTCAGCCAATCAGGCGTGTGCTTTCAAATCTAACCACTCAGACGAGAATGCCAGGTTTGTTGCAATGGACGGTACCTGCCGTGAAGGCCTACCTTGGAGAGTTCCCATGGGCACGGGATTGGGATCAGGCCCAGTCAACCGAAGCCGAACACTTACCACCGTTGTCTTGGTTAGGTCGAAGATGGCGAGGCCCGTGGAGGTACAGTACGTTACTAATGTGAACCCAGCCGGCCTGTGGCTCAAAAGTGAAGAGAGGCAAGGGGATTCAGTCGCACGTTCCACCTCAGTTCGTGGCTGGACTAGTAACAAAGTTGTGCCGAAACTAATTCCGCCATTACTATCGGGCTGAGCGTCAAGAGTGGACATCTCTTCTTGCTCCTCTTCACTTGTAAGTCACAGGTTGGCTGAATTCGCGTCAGTAACGCATGTAGACTGTTGATAGCACCGAGCTCCTTCCCTAAGCTCTACTAACTGTCCAGGCTAGTGCCGGAGCAGATGGGATACTGCTCACACATTGAGATCCTCGAAAGATCTCTGGCCCAGAATGTGGGCATTCAACCTCTGTCACTGCGAAGCCAACGCCAATGTCCAGCACAGTCGAAGCCGTAGAGCACCCGAACCCCGCAATACCAATTATCACAAGTCTATTCATGGGACCTGTTTAACTTCTGATAAAACAATAAGAAGTATTTCCCATATTTAGGTATCTCATCCATACCAGGACTTAGTTGGTCCAATTTAGGTACCCTGGGATCACCAATTCCCATACCGCAATCGTTACGCAACTCCTGAGGGTGATCTGGTGATATAGTGTACTTGGGGTGATGTAAGGCCTGCACATGAGCCTAAAACATTGGGATTTCCCCGACGTTGTTGAATTTCTCGTTCATAATTCTACCTATAATTTATGTATGTAGTTATTTGAAAAATCATGTTAAACCTTCGATATTGACACAATACTATAAAAGGATGATAACTGAAACTTTGTATTGTATTATTATCTATCAAATGATAGGTAATATATTGAATTATAATGACATCATCATGTTACATAAATATGTTTTCGAAATATATTTTGAATTTTTCTCAAAAAGTAATTCCCACCATAGTTTCTGTAATAAACTTCATGAAAATTAATGAAATTAATAATAGATTTATTTAATCTCTAGTTACAAATAAAATAGATTAGTGAATTACCAAACATGAATTGTTTACAAAATTATTCACGTAAACAAATGAAGAAAAAGGCTCAGTTTCTTGTTTATTAATGTAAAAAAAATTACTTCGAAATAATATTTATTATTCGAAGTATTTCAACAGATTCTTTATATAGAAGAAATTTAATTTACACAAAGCATTCACATGTAAAACTATTTTCATAACATATAAACTAATTTTTACATAAGTGATGTGTAGAATTTATTTTAAGTGGTTTTGAAATATACTTATTAACGTCATTTTTTCCATGAAATTTTGTACTCGTACTGTCAAATCTAAGAATTTTCAAATATTTCATTATTCCTTTTTGGTGCCTCCTATAACATGAGACAAGTTTTAAAAATTGATGTCTTTTGATAGATAGACATAAATCAATCGTAATAAGAAAATATTAGGTATAATATTAAACTTCAACTCGATTTAAGGAAAAAAGGAAAACTGAATTCACATCTTCAGGACGTACATCATAAGTAAGCACGATGGGCTCTGCATGTTTCAGAAGGATTCCGCGTGACTCATATTTTGCTGACTTTCGTATCGCACGACGACAGGCGTTTAGTGAAATGGGGAATTCTAACGCGCTGATTTTTCTTGTTTGTTACAGTAACGAAATTCATCCGTATTGGAATAGCTGACAAGAACGACAATCCGCCTTACTTCGACAAAGGCCTCTACGAGGCTGAAGTAGACGAAAATGAGGACATCCAGCACACGGTTCTCACTGTCACCGCCAAAGATCACGACGAGTGTAAGTCAATCTGTACAAAACCATTACATATCTACTTCTCTAGTTCTCAAGCTTAGAGGAAGAATCTCTTTACCAACAGGTGACAAAAGCTATGGCAGTCAAATAAAAAATTAAAGTAGGTTATTTTTGTTTTATTTTTTAATATTTCACTTAAATACTATTCTTTAGTAATTTCTTTCAAAGTCAGCAATATTATTATTAACCTTTTGCACTCCAAGAGTTTTCTACCAAAAATACCCAACACACTTTCTGATGAAATATAGTCAACATTTTTTTAACCTAACTTAATGTATTTAAATCGTACATAAATTAAAGAAAGAGGCTATTTTATTTTAATATTTCACATAAATTATTTCTATAAAAATAACGTTCATTTAACATATACGAAATGAAGACATACTCATTTTTTATTTATATCATATTTGAACGTATGGAACTACTTCACATATTCTATTTATTGTTAAGAAGCATCTTACAATCTAACTTTTGCGTAATCGTAATGATCTTTAATATCATGGTGATAAATTTGAGTGATTCTAATTTTTAGTATTTTTGGTCATTTAAAAATTTTAATAATAAAAGTAAAAAGGAAAAAATAAATTGTTTATGAAAAAATTTAAATTAAATATTGGCAATAAATGAAAATGAATAACAATTCTGAAAGTTTTAATCTATTCTGAATAAATTTGATCTACAATCTCAATAAAAACCATTTGTTTTGGATAATTGGACAAAACGAAAATTATTATAAAATTTTCTTTACGCATTTGTAAATCTTTTCAAACGACTTTGAGAGAATTGTAATCACTTATAAATAACTTAGACTTCTGAAGAGTGTGTTTTTACAATAAAATTGATTTTAAAGTAAATATTTTTTGTAGAGAATATTTGTGGAAAATATTGTAGAATATTTTTATTTGTAATATAATAATATAATAATTATTACTCTTAAAATAATAATGGTAATTAATTGAGAACATAGCTTTGTTATCAAATGGTCATGATTGAAAGTATCTCATTCCTCAAAGCCTAAGAGAAAATAAATTTCTACTAGCTAGATTATTATATACCTACCCATATACCTCTAAATCTCAGTACATACGTTACACAAATAACGAACTTCCATTATTTCGATGCTAGTCAATATTAATCTATCGAACTTAAAAATGTGACTATCCGATAAAATAAAACGTGCAATCCCATTTATGGACAGAAATAAAACGGTCGAATTATTGGGCGGCAGTGTAACTGCTCAGCGTGAAAAATAAATTCTCAGTTCGATAAGCGAGTTCTCGGCAACCGAACAAACTTTCCCGGCAATGTGTCTTCGCTCTGTTCCATGTAATGATTTTATAGCCAGTCGAAGTTTCCGTATCCTTAATCCGGGGAACAAGTTTCGTCGAGTAACAAAATCCATTCACCTCTCTACAAGACTTGGCTCCTGAGACACATTAACTGCTTACGAAAGTTTAAATACCAGATGGCTGGCCGAAGTCACGAAACATATTTATCTGCCGGTCCTCAATTAAGAACTTGAACGTTCGGGACGTTATTAAATTCTAATAAAACTCGTTTAACGGCCGCAGTTCAGCCACTTCAAACCAGTCGTTCCGCGAGTAAAAGAAGTCAGGCGTAAACTAATTTCCACGCTACTTATGATCGAACACGTTTCTCGGAGAAATTTCCACGGTGAAAATTTGAAGTGTTGCTGCCTTAATGAATATCGCTCGCCTAGAGTGTTAAAAATCAAGCACAGCGCGAGTCAATCGTCGAAGCGTTATGGAAATGGCGGCTAGAAGACTCGATGTCCGTTTCGTATACTGGGCGTCACAGATAAATTAGAACGATACAAGCTGAAAATTATTAGCAACTTGTTAATGAGAATTAAATATATATTTTGATGAACAAATATGAATGTTCCACTTAGTGAGTCGATAAGAATGGACAAAGGTGATTATTAAATCACTATTAAAAATTTGTCAATCTCTTGCAAGTAGATTTTAGCAGCAGATTTTCGTGGCAGATTTTCATTAAAAAAGCACTTTCTTGGGACTATACAGTTTCTCTACGGAGAGATGAATAAATAATACAAACTTTTTAAAAAATGGGAAAAATTTATTCCATCAAAAACGACTATGAGGTTGTGAGGGTAACGATAAAGTCTTGCCGACTTAAATTTAACAACGCTTTAAAACGTCAGTGTATCTGTTTTTATTGCAAAATTAAATTTATGCACTTTAAATTTAATACTCATCGCAACTGTTTGAAAACTAATAATTAAAGATGCTGTGTATTTTTTGAATAATTACGTTTGTTACTTTGTGTTGCTTGTATCGGTGTATTTTTACCAACGTGCATAAGATAATAACGAAGCGTTTTGTTAGTGGTGGTCTGGCTTAGGTGGCGGTAATTTACCTAGTTTCACGTTATTGCTAGGTGTAAGAAAATATGTATAGGTAATGTGAAACCGCAAAATCGTGGTTGCTCCACTTTTTGACCATTTATAGGATGTTTTAAAAATGTATGTCGCTACTACCACAAAAAAGGAGACTGGATACCTTAATCCTTTACTCTCTCGTGAAAACTTCAACAGCAACTTGCAAACAGACTATTCATTTTTTACCTATGGTTTCTTTCAGACTATTCACCTTTTTAGTAAGTAGAACACGATGCAAGAATAAAAAAATGTACTGCCCGAATACTATAATGTACATAACACTTATAATGAAGTTTTTTTTGAACTTGAACTTTTACAAAGTAAAACAAAGATTTAAAAACAGTATTATTATAACTTGTTTAATGAATTTCTTTTATTAGTAGGTATAATTTATCCCTAAGAAGTTCTATTAAATTGTCAAAGTATCATAGATTTTTCTGCAGTCCCTACAAAACGTAAAATATTCCGCTACGCTGTAGATGGAAAATTTCTTGGCTGACTTTGACATTCGTAGCTTGTAATCCTGTAATGGAACGTCATTTAAGTGTAAAACGTCAGGCAGAGAAACTTAATTTTCGTTATGTAAATGAAGAAGGAGATCGTTTGCGATTTAACCAGCGGTATGCTTCTTTCACCGTTAAGGACGGAAAATTGAAGACATTTTGCCAATGTTACATCTTTGGATCCGTCTTTCCACGACGTCGTGAGCAAGAAGACCGTAATCTTTCCATGGATTCCTATTTGAAAGAACCTTTTTCTGCATTTTACAGCCTCGCGTATTCGATACGAGATTACGAGCGGTAACATAGGCGGCGCATTCGCCGTGAAGAATATGACTGGCGCCATTTACGTCGCAGGTCCATTGGATTACGAGACGAGGAAAAGGGTTAGTATATCAGTTTCACTGAACATGGTATGAAAAATAAAATGGAAACGGCACATTAACACACCGTTAAAAAGAATCAGAGACACGGTTTAGCGGTTAATCCTTTTAACCGCGTTACCACTCGTTTTATGGCACGAAGTCACAATAAAACTGTGAAATAGTACGACAAAACTTTTGCGGTTATTGCATTGTTCTCCTTGTCCACTCGTTTGTCATTGCTTTAATAAGTCTTCCGTTTTATGCGGTCGGATCTGTTACCAGAATTCCATTACTTACGTAGTTCGTCGGTGTATCGATATACATACATATTCTACGTTCGATTTAAGCAAACTTTACTGGGTAATATTCGTTTCCGTCAAATATATTTGGGAACATTAGAACAGCGATCAATTTTTACCGTTACCTATTCGATCTTTTATACTCATTTCTGAAATTGTTACAATAATTAAGATACATTATCAAAAACGTTATCTTATATCAGTTTTTCTGTATTTTGTTTAGACTCTACAAAAAATATACCCATTCAATTAGTACAATCTAAATTTAGTTCACATGGAATCTATGTCATAGATGAAAAAACTTCACGAAACTTCACACGTTTTTGCTTCGCTTTGAAATTCATTATCTATTTATTCTATAATGATTAAAATGGAATACAATATTATTACTATACTTTTTATTATCTTTTGAAAGCTTTAATTTACAGAACGTATTCTTTATGATTTCCTTCTCACAAATATTTAAAGAAATAATCATAAAACTATTCTTCTCGGATTATAAGTATTATAATCATACCAAGTTATTAAAATATAAAGGATTCAATTTTAAAACCATTAAATATTAATAGACATAATTAGTTTTATACCGACAATGAGTTAATCACTATCCTTTACCAAATTCTACGTTTATTTAAACAAAGAATAAAATACACGCGTTCTTTTTATGTATTTATCAATAGAAATATCTAAGGAGTAAATTTACCTATTTAAAAATACATTTCATTAATAATGTACATTTTATAGACGGCAGTAAATCAAAACCAATGGCATAGCTTTAAAGATCTTTAATTATTCTATAAAACGCTTTTCAAAATTACTTCATGTTACAGCCTTTGTGAACCTAGATCCATTGTGTAAAGCTGACTTTCTTTTTTAAATATTCTACAAACCTATTATTATTCTGGTAACGAGATCCATTTAAGTACACCATTAATTCAACATTTTTATAAAATTAATTAAAATGAATCAGTATGTTTCTTTAAAATTTACCTTTTACAATCTCATAAATTTTCTTTCAATGAATATCCTTACTCCACCGTACTTCTTGTCGTAAGTTAAAAGATGTCATTAATTTTCTATAAAAGTAAGGTACCCAGATTATTACCTATAAATCTAGGGGCATGTGGTCATTTTCGAAAAGATGTAGATTATGATAGGTTTATGATAATTTCTCGAAACAATCTTATTAACTTATTGTATTTTTATGCAAGTTTATTATCCTATATAGACGTTGTACATATTTCAACATCATTAAATGAATTGTTTTTGATGAAATTTGTATGCCAATGAAGTATTGTAATATAAATTAGTTTCAATAATCATTTATCATTCTAAAATAGACTGTTAAATTTTTTAAATAATTCGTAGAATTTGAAATGACAAGAAAAGCGGCCATGAATAAATTATGATTACTGCAATTGAAACCATGAATCCCAAAGTTCACTTTTTGGCACTATATGAGTTATTCACATAGCTATTAGTAATTACTTTTAATTTAGCGTACTCAGATCGATCAAATGATATTTAAAACAATGTTAAATTTCACTCCGTACATGTGTTCTAACAACAATAACATTGAAAACAGTAATTTAAATCCTTAATATGTGCAGTTCTTGGAACTCATCAGCATAATGCTATGAACGTTGAAATGAATTTCAAAATCTCATATAAAATCATGGAATGAAAAGAAAATTGTAAGCACAGCAAGAAATAGATTAATTACACATCGTTCCAATTTAAAGGAAGAGCTAATAATTTTAATATTTATGGAATAAAATCAGTTTATAATAGCGAAATTACACTAAAACCTGAAAAATGTCAAAATATAAAAAAGTAATTGTCATCGATAAACCTGAATTATCGTTCATACTTTGAGAGTTTATTATAAAAATACGAATCTATTCTGAAAACTAGGAACAATGATTTCCAGTGCGAAATGTTGGATAGCGAATAAACATTTTTATTTATAAAATGTAATTTGTTCATTCTAATCAAAATGTGTACTAAATTAGTTGGTAACACAATATTGCCTTCAATGATTTTCAAAACCTTTTGTACAAAAGCCTGTTATCTAATATTTTTAAAAATATGTACATACATAATTAAAGTATATGTATAATCAATATTCACAGCAAAAGTAATCAAGATTGATATTAAATTAACAAAAATATGCAGAACGATTAATTTTCTCGGAATATTAGTTCTAGACTTGTGCTATTTTCCAATTATTGGCTTCAATTCTTTTACTTGTTTTCTAAAAATCTGACCAATTCAAATTTTTTATAAACAGTTGAACATAAAGTTTAACATAATTTAACACTTAAGCACCGAACAATTTGGGATATGAAATACGCCAAATACCGCATGTTTTATGGAATCATTTAGTGGAAATTTATTTTCATTTCCTTTTTGATTTGTTGAAAACAAATCGATTTAAAAAGTATTTATAATTTTATGGTTATTACATTAATATTACTTTACTTTGTGGCACGTAAATTAGGAAAACATATTCTTCTGGAATAGGCATATATATAAATCCATTTTTATTTCGTAATTTAAAAAAAAATTAAATCGTACAATACATAAGGTTAACCGTTTCCTAACACATTCAGACTTCAACCCAGAAACACTATGGCATTAAGTATTAGATTTTATAACTATACATTGCTTTGTAATCTAGTTTTTGACTTTACAGAAAAAATACGCATTAATTCGTGACCGGGTGCTTAAGTGTTAATACATATATACTTTGCTTTCAACTGAAGCTAATGTAACGAAAAATAAAATTTAACTGAAATTCCGTTCCTTTCCTTGTAGCTTTAAAATAAAAAATTTTTTCGATTATTATAGTTTATCAATAATAAATTAATTCACTGTGCAGTTACGATTGCGAAATCTCTTATACCTTAACAAAAGTAGTTTCCTATAATTAACTTCTTTTCAAAGATAGTATCACTCCTTTCGATTTATTCGAAGAAGTGAAAACAAAAAATTGTTCTGTTTCCAAAACTCTCGTTAGCCCCTGAACTACAAGTTTTCGATTCGGTAGCTTAATTCCAACCGTTGCGAACGCTACTATCCACTTATACGACTTTAATTTTGCAGTACGAGCTTCGCCTTACCGCTTCGGACAACTTAAAAGAAAATTATACAACGGTTGTAATACACGTGAAGGACGTAAACGACAACCCACCTGTCTTCGAGCGTCCAAATTATAGAACGCAGATCACTGAAGAAGATGACAGGACCTTGCCGAAACGTGTTCTAACGGTAATTATCATAATTCCGTTGGAGTTTATAGTATCAAATTTCACTGTGCATCTCTTAATTATTCTATTCTTTGAATGTTATTTATAAACTGATAGTAGAAAGTATAACCAGCAGGTATTCGCCTTAATCAAAAAGGATCAGAAAATAGTCAATTAAAAAAGTAGTTGCGTCTCATGAAAGAAAAGATTAGATTAGAAAATAATTATAGAATTGACATGAAAAAAAAGAAATAAGAAGATGAATTCGATAAAACGGAATTTTTGAGCTTCGAGAAATTGTGAAAAAATTGATAGATATCATTAGAAGGAAGAACATTGTATTAAAATATTGGGTAAATCTATTTACAAAAGTTTATTTGTTTATAAATCTATATACAAAAGTTTAAAATGTATAAACTTACATTTTAATGAAAAAATGTATAAACTTACATTTTAATGAAGAAATGTATAATGTTTATTAGTTAGCAACGAACGCAACAAATAAATCTACTAACGAATGAAGTAGTAATAAAACTCGGTCCTTTTTTTCATTTGGTTTTCGACTAAAGAAACAAATTACAGTGACTTTCGCACATCATTGTACTTTTTGAATAATCATTCAATCGGTGAATTATAATTTCAATAAAATTCTCTCTCTGAAATCTAGCTACTGTACAACGCCTACATCCTGAGTCAATCCGAAAAATTAAAAGTGCACAGGAGCAAGGAGAATCAACCGCACGCTCCATCTTGGTCCTTCCAGGAAACATAGTAGCCGAGCCTCCGCGTCCCCGGTATTCGGTAAACATAAATGGCCGCTCGTAAACATAAAATTTCACTCCGGTCCATTCTGTCGCATCTGCTTTCTTCGTCATGCGGCTCAACCAATGGCGTCAACTGTTGTTCTACAGTTATTGACGCGAACGTCTGAGCAGAAGAGTCCCCTTACCCCTGTGACTTTTTAGCTTTTAGGAATGACTGAAAGCGTGACAACTGTACAGTACATGAATCGGTTTTATTAATTTTGAAAATTCACTTTAAAATAACGTCAAAGGATCATTCAAACGTTATGTTCTTTTGGAGAAATTTGAAATGCTAAACTCAAACTATATCATAAAAAGCATACAACATAAAATAAGTTTTGCGCGATATAGAGTACATAATGCACAGTACAAAAAGCAAGGATTAGAGTGTAACGCACAGTAAATTGACTATATACGACATAATTTCAAATATTCCGTTTAAAATACGGCTTTAGAATACATAATTCATGTTAAAAAGAAGAGAAAGATATTATTACTCTCTTCTGTTCAAAAAATAAATTTATGTACCCTTTTATATAAATAATATTTATTTATGTAAACAATTTCATCTTCATTACTGCATTTGATATTGAATGTATAAATATATTATTCCGTGCTTATTTCCTTTTTACACAGGTCACAGCTACCGATGGCGACAAGGATAGACCACAAAGTATTGTCTATTTCTTAACGGGTCAAGGAATCGATCCGGATAATCCTGCAAATAGTAAATTCGATATTAATCGTACTAGCGGAGATATCAACGTTTTACAGGTTCGTATATTTTCAATCTATTACTTTCAATCTCCGTTATTTTCTTCCATCCGATCTGCAACCCCTTATTTCGTTTCATCCAACTACATAAACTTTTCTGTCTTCTCCATTTAGAACACTTTACACTTTTTATATTCCAATTCGTACATTAATATAATGTATCCTGTCATTTAGTCTAAATATTTTTGTCCTAAGAACTGAGAAAGTTAATAACTGGAACATACATATTATTTACAATTGAATAGAAGCCGCATAGTGTTTTGAGCATACTGTAACATTCATTTTTTAATTTTCTTTTACCATCACTGTACGAAATTAATCAGTGTAAGCAATTGTACGAATGAGACAGTTCAGTTTTTGTATTTTTCGAATTTAATAATAAGTACTTACAATTCTGTAAATAATCACACATTATCTAATTGTAAGATCGATAGTAGTCTGGCAGCAACACCACATAAGGGAAAATAGAAAATGTTCAATTTCCATCGGTTGCTTACGTTAACAGAAGAAATATTCATTCATTTTTCAAGGGACATAAAAACCGCTTTATTGTTAGTTTTCCACTGAGAAATCGTCAATAAATTAACGATCAAGAATAATTTAGTTCGTAATCCTTTGTCAAAGTATGTCTTTCAACAGCAAGTACGGAAAATCCAAGAAAGCCTTGACGTGTTTTTTACTTTATTAAATTCGTCTTACGTTGTATGCTATTCAAAGCTTGAAGCCGTTATCGTTTTTTGCAGCCACTGGACAGGGATCAACCAAATGGAAGACCTCAGTGGCGATTTACTGTTTTTGCTCAAGATGAAGGTGGAGATGGTCTGGTCGGCTACGCTGATGTTCAAGTGAACTTAAAGGACATCAACGACAATGCACCAACCTTCCCCCAGGGTGTTTACTATGGCAATGTGACGGAAAATGGAACATCAGGTACCATTATATTAATTAACCAATTAACTGCGTTCGACGAGTATCTTAAAACTCGAAATGATACTAATCTTTTCAACGATGAATTAGTTATTTTTCAGATACACGTGAAATTCTTCTTCGTTTTGTTTCAGTTTTTCGTCAGAATATATTATACGTACATTTGCACTACGTTTGACAAACGTATACTTCATTGCTTGACTTTATTGCGTCTACAATGAGAGATTTTTCAAACTAAATTCCACAATTAACTGATTAATACTCCCTTTATTTTATATTAATTTATTTGTTTTATGTTTTAATATTATAAACATTTTATATCTGCCTCCGAAGGCGGGTGGTTATTTTGACCTATAATAGAATTTGTTTTTCACGCAGATTTTAAGAAAAAATTTTACCTGAAATTTGATGCATAATGCTAATTTCATATATTACAGTTTTATGTGTAAATATATATGTGCTTACTTATATGGATAAATTAATAAATAAGAAAATATTACATAAATATGACCACGGCTGTTGTTGGATTAAAATGTTCCACTATTCGCTGTGCGAGGGTTGAGTTAGAATTTGTTGACAAAGGTTGAAATAATTAGTACTTAATTGCTGTTAGAAATAGCATCGCTTGTTTAAATGATAGATTTCAAATTTGATGCATTTCTGGCAAATATAAAAATTCAAAATGAATGATAGCAGTGATTATAATAAATTTGTGTTTATTATGAAGCATTCATTTTTGTTAAGGAAAAAGTTGTTTCTTTCACTGTATAAGATAGCGCAACAATACTTTAAAATGATATTGTCTGGTGCAGACTTTATTTTTTCGTTAAGGCATGAAGAGTTCTATTTCTAACTGATTTTCTTTGATGTTCGCTTCAGGAATGGTCGTGATGACAATGACGGCGATCGACTATGACGATCCGAATGAAAGCACAAATGCTAAACTGGTTTATTCGATTGAAAAGAACGTTATTGAAGAGGAGACTGGTTCCCCAATTTTTGAAATCGAATCGGAAACTGGCGTGATAAAAACTGCGGTATGCTGCTTAGATAGAGAACGCACACCGGATTATTCTATACAAGTCGTTGCAATGGATGGAGGGGGGTTAAAGGGTAAGTACTAAAATATACAGAAACGACGAATAACCCAATTAAATGAATTCACGAAATTTTACAACTGTTTTTCATTCTTGTTTCGGACAATATCGATTTGTGTTTTCTTTGGCATGCTTTATAAAATTAAAAAATCTAGTAAAGAGTAAATAATCATGGTACACTTACGAAATACTAAAATTTATTAGAAAAATACAAAATTTTGCACACGCTATTAAAAGTACATTTTATCGTAAACTTTATTACTAAGATTTTTTTCACTACACAAATATTTATAATCTAAACGTATAAATATTATAATTGAATAAAATTTGATGACATATGTTTTACATTTGTAATAGTTTAACGAGAAGAAATCAATATTTTAGAGATCTGTTATAATAGCAAGTAGCACCTGCACAAATAATACTTAATATTATGTAAACAGTGATATAAAAAGATATCCAAAATTTGTCTTGTCATTTTTAGGGACCGGGACGGCATCTATACGAGTGAAAGATATAAATGATATGCCTCCACAATTTACGAAAGACGAATGGATCACTGAAGTGGATGAAACGGAAGGTCCAGATCTGCCGGAAATGCCAATACTTACGGTCACTGTTCACGATGAGGATGAAACCAACAAATTCCAATATAAGGTATCTTTTATAACATCGGATTCTCACTGCAATAAATTAATATATTCTGAGAAATACTGATTACTAATTACTAAGACGTGAAATAATATTTACAAATATTACATACTACGAAAATCATGATTATATTAACGAACACTTAAAATAATTTACATTTTTAGTTCTTATTGTGTTATGTAAATTTGACGCTCTTTAAGCACTTTCTATTAAAAAAACAATTTTATACGAACAAATACAACTTGATAAAAGGGAATAGTTTTTAAAGAACGAGATTAAACTTGATTATTTTTCTTTGATCTGTACAACACTGACTTTACAAAAATTCATTGTATGAATTAATAGGTAATAGAGAACAGTGGTTATGGTGCCGATAAATTCACCATGGTGAGGAACAATGATGGCACTGGATCTTTAAAAATTGTGCAATCATTAGATTACGAGGACCAATTGCAGAGCAACGGATTTAGATTTAAGATACAAGTCAACGATAAGGTACGTTTACATTTAAAGTCAATAAATTATTAAATCCGTATTTCATTTGAAGTTTGAAGTTAAAAAACAAATTTTTATCATTTCTATTGTTTTTGCACAGGGTGAAGATAATGACAACGATAAATATCATGTCGCTTATTCTTGGGTCATAGTGAAACTTCGCGATATAAACGATAATCAACCACAATTTGAAAGAGCGAATATTGAGACCACTGTGCCGGAAAATGCCCCTATAGGAGACAATTTAGAAACATTCAATGCGACAGATCCTGATCAGGGTGGGAAGAGTAAAGTTTTTTACTCGATCGATAGATCTTCTGACCGCAAACGACAATTCTCCATCAACGAAAACGGCACGGTATCCATACAGAGAAGTTTAGATCGGGAAGAAACTCCACGACATCAGGTATGTAACTTATAATATGTTATATTTTTCAATTTTCCCCCACCCATTATTTGATACTCTTTCAATTTTCAACATCGTACAAACGGAACTATAAGGTTGCAATTTTTGGAAAGGTTAATCGAAACAATTTCTACAACATTTATCATTTTCACGAAAATCAGAAATAGAGCAATCCAATTGCAGTACTACCATTAATAAGAATAAATTTGTAATTATATAGGTTTTTAGACCTCCCTCAGATGATTTTAGAAAAATTATAATGAAATAGCAACATTGAGAAAAAGCACTAAACTGTAATTTCACCAAAAGTTTATTCAATATTTATTCTTATGTAATAATTTCTTAAAATTATATAAAACCGTCTTTGGTAACATAATTTTTGTAAAAATATGGTTTTAGTTAATTCTAGTTTTCTTTCTATCCATTTTTATGCGGATTTCGTAAGTACTTAATTTTCTGTACAATTGAACTAGTACTTTTACGTTGCATTTTCATTACTACAAAATCTTATAGTGCGCCACACGCTTTTTATAACTACTTACATTGTTACTAACATAATTTAGTAATAAGTTCATTCTTGAAAATGTTGAATTCTTTTCGAATAATTTTATTGATACAACCATATTAGTCTCCAATAGTCACAAACATAATGTAGTACACACACAAATATTTAAATGTCACTATATATAATTTCAAAGGAGTGAAAAATTCCTTTCGAATCGAAAAAAAGAACACGAATGAACAAAAAAAAGGAATTAACTTATAAATTCAAATTAGCTTCGATATAATGAAAATCTTTACAGGTGAAAATCCTAGCCATCGACGACGGCATCCCACCGAAAACCGCGACAGCTACGTTAACTGTGATCGTTCAGGACATAAACGACAATCCGCCAAGATTCTTAAAAGATTACCGACCGGTGCTGCAGGAGCATTTACAGCCGAAGAAAGTTGTGGAAATTTCAGCGACTGACGACGACGACCGATCGAAAAGCAATGGTCCGCCGTTTACTTTCAGAATGGATCCAAAGGCAGACGACGTGATTCGAGCCAGTTTCAAAGTTGAGAGCGATAATAGTAAGTTTTCGAACGAGCCCGTTATTCCCGTGAAACGAACTTGTTAGTTGTAGTTCGGTAGTTCCCTTAACAAACGTGACCTTTTTGTTTCTTCAGAAGGGGCAAATGGAGATGGTATGGCCATTGTATCCGCGTTACGGACCTTTGATAGAGAACAACAAAAGGAGTACTTGATACCAATCGTTATCAAGGATGCCGGAACTCCTTCAATGTCTGGAACTAGTACCTTAACGGTTATTATCGGGGACACTAACGACAACAAAATGCAGCCAGGATCGAAAGACATATTTGTATATAATTACGCAGTATGTACTCTGAATTTCATTTTCTTAAGTGTTTATTGATGTTTATTTTTATCTTTCCTTTCTACAGAGATGTCTATGAAAATTAAAATATCCATTAATTCTTCCATTATAATCTGAATTTAGTGAAGTTGAAAAATATAATTTAGTTCATTTTAAATTTAAAATATAAAAATAACTCCAGTATCCAGTTTGTTTATTAGATCTAACAATGAGACTGCACTTACAAAAAGAAAATAGAACACTCCCTTTTCTAACATTGATCTTAATCTAGAAAGGTATAGGCAATAAACAATTACAGTTCCATTGCGATTAAACTGTTGAAGATTATACAATGTCGTTATGTTATTAGTGATTTTTCTTTAAACAAACGTGTGTTTAATTGATTGTGGATCTATCTGGTTCTAAAAGCGAGATTCTAAATTCCACTTCTAAATGTATACTAATAGTATAGGCACGATAGTTTATAGATTTATGCACTCTAAAAAAATCAGATGGAAAGAATTAGATATTTATGGAATTATTGTGGAGAAACAGATAAAGAATATCGTTAAGAAGTTAATAAATCGTTTATATTTTCAATTAATTGATTTTATTTGTGTATTACATAAGAAATAAATCTAATTAAATTGCAATTAGAAAGAAAGTGGATATTTCAGGGACAATCACCAGATACTGAAATAGGTAGAGTTTACGTCTATGATTTGGACGATTGGGATTTACCGGATAAAAGGTTCTATTGGGAAGGTTTAGAGCATGCACAGTTTAAACTGGATGAAGACACTGGTATGATTACCATGAAATTAGGTACACACGATGGTAGATACCATTTACGATTCAAAGTCTACGATCGGAAACATACCCAAACGGATGTACCTGCAAATGTAACTGTGACCGTGAAAACTATTCCTCACGAAGCTGTTCTGAATTCTGGCTCTGTTCGAATATCCGGTATAACGGACGAGGATTTCATTCGCGTTTGGGATTATAAGGTAGATAATTTTTCAATAATCATTGAAATGATAATTACACTGGTCAGTATGATTCTTTTCTTAAAAGATTTAATGAGTGACCTTAACTCTTTGCGGATGACAATTTTTTAAGCTTTCGAAAACCTTCATTAAAAAGTCGAGTTACGCATCGACGTTTTAAATACTAGAAAAAAGAAAACTACATATTAATCTCTCGTTATTTGAATAATTAAATTGTATTTACTTAAATTATTAAATTATATTATGGTATTCTTTTGACAAGAAATTTAATTTTCAACGCTATTTTTCAGTCTCAAACACAATCACGGAGTAAAGCAGAATTATTCAGGGAAAAATTAGCGCATTTATTGAATATCGATAGAGATAATGTCGATGTGTTTAGTGTGCAATTACGAAGAATGCATCCGCCGTTAACGGACGTCAGATTCGCAGCACATGGATCACCATATTATAAACCTGTCAGATTGAATGGAATGGTGTTAATGCATCGTGAAGAAGTAAGATATTGAATTTTACTTGTATTCAATTATATGCGTTTAATTTTCTAAATTAATCATTTGGAATTACACTGTGTATAATATGATAAAAGAGAATACGTAACTAGATTAAGAATTAGTCAATTTCTTTACATACAAATCGATGAAGTACAGTGAATTAAAATAAAATTTGAAACATATTTTCCAAAGGTACCTTAAAAAAAATCTTATTTCATGCAAAAGTAAGCGATCAATTAATCAATAGCAGTTGATATGACCATAAGTATTTACTTATAAAAAGTAATAAGTTCATAAAAGTGAAACACTATTTTACATTTTTTAGATCGAAAAAGAAGTAGGAATTAACATAACGATGGTGGGCATCGATGAGTGTTACTACGAGAATGAAATGTGTGAAGGTAGTTGCACAAACACCTTAGATATCAGCAGCTTGCCGTATATGGTCAACGCAAATAAAACTGCTCTTGTCAGTGTTCGGGTGGATGTAATTGCCGAGTGCACTTGTGGAGCAAGGAATTTTAGCAAAGGAGAGTCTTGCAGAAATAGCCCTTGCTACAACGGTGGTCGCTGTGTAGAGGGTCGCTTTGGATTATCGTAAGCATTGTTTTGTTGACATTCATATGTTGAAGCTCTTATACTACTGGCATTATCTCCAAATAATCTGTGGACACTCTCTATACACATTATATATTGTACTAATATGTTAACTCTGACTGTCTAATGATTGTCGAAATGCCATTATTATTGAAAGTAACATTTTTTGAGAATTAAGTTTCAAAGCCACATCTGAATTTAAGAACGTCAATATAAAAAGGACGCAGTGAATTTAAGAAATTTTACTACAAAAATTTAGAATCTGAATATTGTCATCTTTTTACCCTTCATATTCATTTTAACATAGATCTCCAAGAAATAACTAAATCTTTTTATATTATATACATTAAAATATTACATTAGTCGGCTACTATAGACTTCAAACTTTAGGTACTGAACTAATTTCATTTTGTTCACAATCATTATCTCTTATTTTCTATTTCACTTATAGAAAGTATAAACACAATGTGAAAATATTCATAAACTTTATATATGGACACGTGTTTTCAAATAATCCCTCATAATGCATACTGAGCATCTTGAGCATACTCGTTCAAATTGAGAATTAATTCACTTTTCCATCATATAGATGTCAATGTCCTTCTGGCTACAATGGTCCAAGGTGTCAACAGACTGCAAGAAGTTTCCGTGGAAACGGTTGGGCTTGGTATCCTGCTTTGGAGATGTGTGATAATAGTCACTTGAGCTTTGAATTTATAACGAAGAAACCTGATGGTCTACTCTTGTACAATGGACCTATTGTTCCTCCTGAAACTGACGAAATTATGGTCTCTGGTAAGTCACTATATATTGTTTCATTTAATTCTGTTTGCATATTTATTAGGATATAAGTAAGTTCAAATTGCTCCTCAAAAAGATAATCATTAGCATTTGCTTACATAATGCACTGCCATATATAAACATTATTTTACAAAGAAATTAAGAAATAATCCAAATGAACTTGTTAGGAGAACATATATATTTTAATGTTTTGAACTTTTATTTCGATACATATTTGAATTTTTTGTATTATATACATGATACAGATGTATATTTTGAAATAATGAATTTTTAAACAAAATAAATGTTTTTTTCTAACAAACGTAAAATTACGAGTTTTTGCACAGATTTCTTAAACAAATGTTTCTGAAATCATACATCTCAAACGTGACCTATCGTAAACACTAATGTTCAGAGACTATAATTTTTCTACCCGCAAAATATATTTTCGACGATATGATTTAAGAGGCTTTTAATGTGAAAGAGTTAAATGCTGGACTGAAGAATTCAATTTACTGGCCAGGCTTTATAGTAGTACTGTTCTAATATATTGCATTGCGAATCTACTACGTGTACTGACCGTGAACCGATGTTCCAACATTTTTAACTATTAACGACTGAATTAATATTAAAGAATTAGAAAGGTAGCACATTTCGAAGAAGGTAAATGTTTTCCAATTCCAGAAAATATTTTTAACATGATGGAATTTTTTATCTTAACAAACTCAATAAAAAGTTTCACAACAAATCGTCTTTTGTGTTTTCAATTTGAAATATATTTAGTTCTATTATAATAAAACTATACAAAACCATTAATTGGTCCTTTGAAAAGTTTTTCTATGTTTAGTACATAGTTAATCAACATTACTGGGATATTAAAAAAGGAACAATGTCAATAAATTTTAAATATCTTTTTAAATTCATAGATTTTATATCCGTCGAGTTGGAGCGTGGAATACCCCGATTGTTAATAGACTTCGGATCTGGTACCTTAGAACTGAAAGTAAAACCAAAAACAACTTTGGATGATGGAGAATGGCACAGACTTGACATTTTTTGGAATACAGAGGTTTGAAATATTCATATGTTGTTATATTGTAACATGAAGGCATAATTATATATCATCTTAATAACATAACATTATTCTATGCATGGCATATCTTTAAGAGGGTTTAACTGTGAAGTGTTTCTTCTTTATTTTTATAAAAACAATTCAGTTTTATTGATTGCACTTTTTATACAATCATATTATTTATAAAACATATTTATTTTATATAGTACCAAATAAGAAACACTTTTATCATATACATATAATAATAATAATTATAATACATTTGAAACATTTCTTATATTTGAATAAAATTAATAACAAATAAGATTAAAGTTTTGTTTAAGGACCATTAGAATGAAAAGTTCAATCACTCAAAAATATTATTTGTATCACAGACCGTGAAGCTGATTATTGATTACTGTAAGTCAGCACATATCTCGGAACCGGAAGACGGCTCTTCTCCAGAATTCAACGACACTACTTGCCAGGCTCAAGGCACAATACCGCCATTCAATGAATACTTAAACGTAAATGCACCTCTTCAAATCGGTGGGTTATACGTCGAGCAGTTCGACCCGAGTCATTATAAATGGAAGCATATGCCAGTCGGAAAAGGTTTCGATGGTTGCATCAAGAACCTCTTCCATAACAGCAAGCTTTATGACTTGGCTCATCCTGGTCTTTCGAGAAACAGCGTAGCTGGCTGCCCTCAAACAGAAGAAATCTGCAATAACCAGGAATCTACCTTCCGCTGCTGGGAACATGGAACTTGTGTGGGAAGCTTCAAGGAAGCTAGGTGTCAATGCAATCCAGGATGGACTGGTCCAGGTTGTATGACACCCACCATTCCAACAACGTTTAAACCACAGAGCTATGTGAAATATGCCTTATCCTTCGAGCCAGATAAATATTCTACTCAGGTGCAATTAAGATTCCGTACCAGAGAGGTTCATGGTGAACTATTCAGAGTCAGTGATCAACATAACAGAGAATACGCTATACTGGAGGTTAGTGACTTGTCCACTTATCCATTTGATCTTTTAAAATCATTTTAAACCCTTTATTAAGAGAACATCACCAAAAATTGATTTTAGGAATTCTGTTTTAGTGTCCTTAAGATCTTTGAGTCTGTTTCGCCTTAATTCCAGTTGCAATTTTGTCGTGGCATTTCTACTACGGTTCTTTTGGGGTTTTTACCAATACAATTTTGCTCCTCATTCCCTAAATGTTGTTCTACATTTTGGAAAACTATAATAAAATTGTTATTTATATGCGCGTATTTTCTTCATCAGTATTACGTTAAAGAGATAGTTAAATTGTGGTGAATTATGGTGAATACAGACTTTCGAGTGTAAGCCGTATTTTATAAGAAATTTATCTGTTAAAGGAAGTCTACTAAAATAAATTAGAATAAACATTCCAGTTTGATGAAATTAATTTTTTGTGTAACAACTTCAAAGCAGGTAACGAATTGTGAATTGGAATTTTAATCGTAGATCAAAGATAGCAGACTGCACTTCCGGTATAATTTGAACAGTTTGAGGACCGAAGAACGTGATATCTGGCTTACTGCAATAGCTGTTGATGATGGACAGTGGCATACCGTCAGAGTCTCGAGGTATGGATCAGCCGCAACCTTAGAATTGGACGGTGGCGAAGGAAGAAGGTTTAACGAAACCTTCTCCTTCCAAGGCCATCAGTGGCTACTGGTTGATAAACAGGAGGGCGTTTACGCGGGTGGCAAAGCAGAATACACGGGTGTCCGAACATTCGAGGTGTATGCCGATTATCAAAAAGGTACAATTTTAAATTATTTTATGTAGCATATTTCACTGTATAACACAAAACTACACAAGACATAAATGCGATGAATAAATTTGTATGTTTGATGAAATATTATAAGTATTATATCAAATAGTTAGTTAGTTTTTTGCTGAATATACAAAACATCTTCGTCTTTTTAAAACTAAGAATATTAAGTTTCAGAGAAGCTAGAAACTTTCTTGTTACTAGTTTAAACAAGTGATAAACAGCAATTTTATGGAAAACTAAATTCTTAGTATTTCTTTTTAATATCATTCTTTAAAATAACAGGAAAATTGAGAAACGACACAAATTAAATTATTATCGTTTTTAAATAAATATTAATATAACATTCTTTATGGTTCATTTCTTCGTATCTTAATGTATATAGTTCAACGTTATACGCTTTCCTGTATCAATGTTTCCCTAAAGTATATTAAGTACAAGTATAAAAATGTAAATATATATTTTAACGTTTGTATTATTTTAATTAGGATGTCTCGATGATATAAGATTAGAAGGAAAACATCTCCCACTCCCACCAGCGATGAATGGTACACAATGGGGTCAAGCAACAATGGCCAGAAATCTGGAACGGAATTGTCCATCTAATAAACCCTGTGTCAATGTCATTTGCGCGGATCCGTATGAATGTATTGACCTTTGGAATGAATACGAATGCACGTAAGTGTCGATTTTTCGATGTCAATTTTGAATTGTCTCTGTTGAACAGTTTGTATATCGCAGGTATACAATTTACACACAAACAGTTTGTCGTGTTCCGGGTTTGCTCTCTTACTTCTTTTAAATAGAAAGTATTTTCTTTTAAAGAAAAGCTGTTTTACTTTCATCATCAACTAATTTCATGTTCATTCAATATCAAAATAAATGCCCATGAACATAATGTTCAACAGTATTCATAACGATCGACTTACCATTGCATTAAAGAAAAGTGTAAGAAATTTTTTTATTAAAATGCAAATTTCTCTTTTCTCAACATAGTCTGAAATATAATAATCTCAAATAAAATAACTCTAACATTTTTAGCGATAAATTCTTCCGATATCAGAAAATGTATGCAGTTGACTATAATTGATTTCACGATAAACATGCTTTTTGAAATACTTGTAGAAGTGAAAATACTGTCAGATGTTATCTGTAATTTGATATTTACTCGTAGATGCGGAGAAGGAAGAATTCCATCGCCAGACAACAAAGGATGCATGGACAAGAATGAATGTATCGATTATCCATGTTTAAATGGAGGCAGATGTATCAATCAAGATCCCCGGTTCCGCTACAGATGCATTTGCCCAGATGGCTTTTGGGGCGAGAACTGCGAACTTGTCCAAGAAGGTCAAACATTGAAGCTCAGCATGGGCGCCTTGGCAGCCATTTTAGTCTGTCTTCTGATTATTTTAGGTAAATGTTATTTAATAGTATTATTCATCATATTCATTCAGTAAATAATTTAATTTCAATAGATTTCTTAATTAATAAAGTACATGTTTTTACTCTACCAGTATTTATAAAATAATTAGTATACTGCATAAGCAGGCACAGCTAATAATTATTAATTGTTACATGTATTGTTCGTATGGTTAAATTTAAAAATAAAATAAAAGTATAAACATTATGTTCTTCTGTGTTTCAGTGCTCGTCTTAGTATTTGTTGTGTACAATAGAAGAAGAGAGTCTCACATTAAGTATCCAGGCCCTGACGATGATGTCAGAGAAAATATTATTAATTATGATGACGAAGGTGGCGGTGAAGATGATATGACCGCGTTTGACATTACACCGCTTCAAATTCCTATCGGTGGACCGATACCGGAAATGGGTGGAAAATTACCCCCGTGCAAAGTACTCTGTACGGTTATTTGCTCATTACCAATCTATGACCTCATATATTAGCTGATATATATTCAAAATGGACTATTTATAAACAAACATTTTACAGATCCACTAGGGCCAGAGCCAAATGTCGGCATTTTTATAGAAGATCATAAAAAGAGGGCTGACAGTGATCCGAACGCACCGCCGTTCGATGATTTACGAAATTATGCTTACGAAGGTGGCGGAAGTATCGCAGGCTCATTATCATCGTTAGCTTCCGGTATGTAGAAATATTATACCTGTATACATACGAGAAATACATATGTACAATTGGCCCAACATGTCCATGCCGAGCAGCACCAAGCTAAAAAGTCATAGGTGCAAGGGAACTTTTCCATTCAGAATATTCGCGTCAATAGCTATAAAACAACAGTTCATATTATTGACTGAGACGCGTAACGAAGAAAGCAGACGAAACAGAATGTGACGAAGTGAAATGCGACGAATATTGGCATCGAATTTCGTTTCTGCACACCGACGACTTTTTGTTTACCGAATCTCGGGGACATGGAAGCTCGGCTACTATGTTTCTTGGAAAGACTGAGGTGAAGCGTATAGCTAAGTCCCCTTACCTCACTTCCCTCAAATCTTGGTGCTCGGCATGGTCATAGCGGGCCAACTGTATAAGGCATTTGAATTAAAATTTCATATTTACTGTAGTTTAATTATTGTACGTATATGAAAACAACATAGAATTATTATGTAACATCTGAAATTAAATTATAAGAATAGATGTAATGATTCTCTGTTATCATATGTAAAGTACACATAAATATACATATTTAATAACTAATCGTAAATATTGTAAGTATGTAACATTATATAATTTTGTAGTGTAATGGACAAAAGTAGTGATTCGAAATAAATTATGAGTCAATAAATGTTAAGACATTGCTCTTGTAATACAAGCAAAATCCTATTTAAAAAATTAAGTGAATTTTACGTTCAATAGGTACAGACGACGAGCAGCACGAGTATGAATACTTAACTGCCTGGGGACCTAGATTTGACAAATTGGCCAACATGTACGGTCCAACGGAGGAAAGTGAGGAAGAGGAATAAAAAACGCAAAAAGTTTTGAAAAACTCGTGTGAGCTCGCACGATTGATGCTCCGAGCAGGATTAGTGTTTGTGTAACCTTAGAGAAAAAAATACCGTAGAAAGAAACTGTCCTCTAAGGAACATAAGTTCGAACAAACTTTTCAATTACAAGAAAAGCAACGCTCTGAAAGCGAAAAGATCAGCGTGTCCTCTGGAGCGGTGTGTTTACATGTGGCTAAACAAGAAAAAACACTATGTTTCGTTTAGTATACATCGGCCGTGGAATCGTTCCTGGCATACAGACGTAATCTTACAGAATGCATACACGCGAACAAGGATGAGGCGTTCGTGAGGGGTGCGTGAATAAAAGAGAGAAAGAAAGAAAGTAAGAGAAAAAGATTGAGAGAGGAGGAAGGATAG